AGAAAGAAAGAAAGAAAGAAAGAAAGAAAGAAAGAAAGGAGGAAAGAAAGAAAGGAGGAAAGAAAGAAAGGAGGAAAGAAAGAAAGGAGGAAAGAAAGAAAGGAGGAAAGAAAGAAAGGAGGAAAGAAAGAAAGAAGGAAAGAAAGAAGGAAAGAAAGAAGGAAAGACAGAAGGAAAGACAGAAAGTAAGTAAGTAAGCAAGCACTATCTTCAACAGGGGTGGTGATACTATCTTATTCCTGATTTGAGACAGAAAGTGTTTTTCTCCATTTAATATGGTGGCAATAGGTTTGTCATATCTTGTATGAGATCGAAGTAAAGACATACTTCATCTATTTCTTCAGTATTTCACAGGATGCTAAATTTTCTCAAAGGCCTTTTTTTGTGTAAGTTGAGGCAAATCCTGTGATTTTTGTGCTTGGTTCTGTTCATGTTATATAATACATTTATTGATCTGTGTATATCCAAGCATCCTTGCATCCTGTTTGCTCAGATCTTACTGATGATAGATTTATATTCAGTAGAGACTGGCTTACAGTTCTTTTTTGGTTGTATCCTTACCTGGTTTTGGAATCAGGATAATGTTAGACTCCAGAAATTACTTTGGGACTATGCATTCCCTTGCAACTTCATTAAAAGTCTTGAGAATTGGTGTTAGATATGGAAATTACTGCTTTAATTTCACTGGTTACTGGAATTATTCAGGGTTTAAAAAAATATTCTTAGTGCAGTTTTTTAAATTTCTATGAATCTAGCAATCTATCCATTTCTTCTGAATTCACCAAACAACTCTGGAAAGTAGTTGTTAATATATTTGATGTAGGCAGTGATGGATGTGATTTTACTATTTTCATTTGTAACTGCATTGATTTCAGTCTTTGGAATTTCATATCCTATTCTTTTCAGCTCAATCATTCCAAATAGTATTTTTTTCCCACAATAGTTATTTTATAAGCTGAAAATTTCTAATTTTCTAATAATTTAAAGAAACACTGTAGGGCTTTCTTAGGATTACCTGCTTCATTCTGAGCTTGGAAGTACACATAGGAATTAGTTTAGTTCATATGAAAATTGAAAGCTCTATTCCTTTAATATTATTTTCCAAACTCCACTTAACAGAATAGACTTATTCACTGTGCATACACCATATATAAGATGGCTCCTCATGACTTTAAGGCATATGTGCTGCTATGTAGATTTATTTGACTAAAGTTACCACTTGACAAAATGAATAAGAAAAAAATTGAAAATAATAGGGATTCTATGAAGTCTTCTATTCAACCAGGTCAACATTTGCATTATCCATTTAGAAAAAGAATTCTGCATTGTCTACTAAAGTGCTGATACTAAAAACTCTAAAACTGCCGCTGTTTTAAGGCAAGCAAGGAGTTTAAAAAAATATTCTACCTACAATATCCACCTAACAGCCTGCACTAAGATTTGGTGCCCCAGCTCACCAACTGCTTAGTAGCAGGGATAGCTCCTGATTAAGGTCAGAAGAATGAAAATCTATCAAGGCATCCATTACTTAAGTTCAAAATGTAAACTTGCCAGGCCATGGATTTAACTCAGTGGCACCGCACCTGGCTCGCAAGGGCAAGGTCCCAAGTTCGAGCCACAGAACCAAAAAAATTGTAGACTTGCCTATTCAATATGCATGCTGCTGTCAAATTTTCACACATTTCAGGTTTTCTGTCTCTCTTTTGGTCCAGTGTGGTTACTTGTAATGTCTTCAAAATAATATGCCTAGTTCTGAAATTTTTTTAACATTATAGGATAAAATGTCATCGTACTACATTTTTCAGAACCAGCAGTACAATGCTTACAAAACATGAAGATGGCAATCACTACCTAATTTTTACAATTGACAATTCTTTTAATTTCTTTTTTTTGTACTGGGGACCAAATTCAGGACCTTACACTTGCCAGGCAGGTGACAGCAGCACTGAGCTAAATCCCTGGTCCTTATAATATTTAATTATTAAGATACTTGTAATAGGTTGCAAACAAAAAGGTTATAAGAAATATCATTATCTTTTACTTACCTATATCTGTGTGCAACTACACTCCAAAGAACAGTTGGTGAATTGGTGTATGTTGAAGTGATTAGATTTTTACCTTAAAAATAGTGAGGTATGATAAGGTTAATAATTATTAAGCATCTATACATTCAAGCTTCATATTCAGCCATGTTGTTTTAAGTATATAATACATGTATGCTCCCATAAACATATCTATAAAGTTTAGTTAAATGGTATGTTATAGTACATATTCTGCAACTTTATTTTTCACTCAATAATACACCTCAAGTTTATAAATAATAACAATGCAGGCAAAATGAATTCTTTAAAACTAATTTACAGCCCTCAGGGCTGGGGATTTATTTAGCTCAGTGGCACCACACCTGCAAGGCAGGCACAAGGACCTAAATTCCATACCCTGTACCCCACCCAAAGCCAACTAATTAATTTACATCACTCAAGCTGACCAGTATTACTTTTCATATATTGTAAATCTCCTAGTTTATATTTAAGGTTTCCAAATGATTTCATAGAATTTCACTGCCATAACAAATTTTGCATGTTACTGAAAAACTATTTTACACAGTACTTACACAAATTTATTAGCAGTGATTTACAAATGTTTTTATACTTTTATATTCTTACCAAAAATGTGGTGCTGTCAAAACTTTTTGATTGTTATTATATTTAATTTAGACAATAGCAATTGGTGATTCTGAATATATATTGAAGACTTCTCATTACTATTTCTAAATTTTAACCAGTTTTAAAAATTTTTAACTAATTCTCTAGTCAAATAAATTATTGCTGGTCTACATATTTTGAAAATAAATTCTTCACATTAAAATTTATGTCATAGGAGATATTAAATATTCTCCCAATTTTTGCATTGTTGTTGCTTATGACCTTTTCAGTGCAATGCAAATTTTTTTCTTTTCTTTTCTTTTTTTTTTTTTTTAATTTTTTGGTGCTGGGGATTGAACTTGGGCCCTTGCGCCTGCAGGGCAGGCAGAAGAACTGCTGAGTCAAATCCCCAGCCAAGTGCAATGTAATATTAAAAGAGGTCAAAATATTCAATCTAGTTCATGGTCTTTGAATATTAGAAATTTTCATTGAGATCATAAAAATTTTGTTCAATGTAACTGTGTTGAATGCTTTGTAATAGTTTTAAAAGAAAAATTTCACTGTATTTTTATTCTATAGGTAACAAAAGAATTTATGATGTGGAATTCAAGATAATTTTTTTTTCTACACAAACAAGAATTGGGTACAGCACCATTTGTCCATTAGATACACAGAACATGGAATTCACCAGGTATTTCCAAAATGCCAAACCCGCAGTAAGTATGCATTAAGTGTCTTTGTGGCTCCATCTATTTACCTATCGTGGTCATGTCATATAAATCATACAGCATGTGCTCTTTTCTCAATATTATCTTTTAGTTTGAATAATGATTAAAAGATTCACCCATATTATATCTTTTTCACTTTTTAATGTTTCATAGTATAAAGTTTACAATCCATTAATCTGTTTATGCATTGATCTACTGATCCACTCATCTACTGATAGACACCCTGAATCATATACATTTGACTATTAGAAAAATGCTGTAACATTTATCATAGGGTTTGCGTGAAGACATACTTTCAATTCTATTGGAAATATACCTATAAATACATTTGCAGGATAGGCATCACTGTTTTCTACAGAGGTTGTGCCATCCCTACAGGCAGTGTAAAAAAGGTTAAAATTTCCCTAGCCTTGTCAATATTAATGTATTTTTGTGATTATATTCATCATAGTTGGTGCATAATTGTATCATTTATATTAATTTGCATTTTACTGACAATGTATTACTTTACCCTGTGTTACTAGTCATTTTTTCTTGAAGATATATGTTCTGAACCACAGTTCGTTTCTTACCTAGGTTTTAATTACCTCTTTTTGTGGGTAGTACCAGGAATCAAACTCAAGGCCATGCACTTCCCAGGCAGGTACAGCACCACTGAACTACATCCCCAGTTTAATTACCTTTTAATTAATGTGATATTTATTATACATCATAGGCAAGAGTTTAAAACTGACTTGTCTCAATTTGTGGTTGCATTTTCACACTTTACATGGTATCTTATGAAATACAGAATATCATGCAAAAATATTTTTAATTCAATGACGTATAACTGGTTAATTTTCTCTTTGTTACACATATATGTTGTGCTATTTAAGCCACAATTGCCTCATAGATGGTCATGGTATTTTCATGTATATTTGTTACTAAGAGACATAGTTTTATTTACATTCAGGCATTTAAATCAATTTTATATAAAGTGTGTCATAGCAAGACGTTTCTGTTTGTAAATATCCAGCTGTCTGAAAATTATTTGTTGAAATGACTATTCTTTCCTGGATTAAATTTTAATTTTTGTTTTGTTTTGTTTTTCGTACAAGGGATCAAACTTAGGACCTAACACTTGCGAGGTAAGCATGGTGCTAAACTAAATCCTGGGCCACTATGGATTAAAAGAATTGACCATACTGCCCTTTCATTTACATAAAAATTTAGAATCAGATTATCATTTACTATAAAGAAAAAAAGCTCTGATTAGAATATTAACTGGGACTGCAATTAATTTTTAGTTCGATGCATGGTAAATTTTCATCTTAACACTATTATGAAAAATTAAGTCGTAATCAATTAACATGACATATTCATCAACATGTAATTATTCACAAATATTTTGTGGTATTTAGTGTACGAATGTTGAATTTAATTTTATATATTTCATCTTATGTCTTGTTACTGCAAATAAAAGTTTCAGTAATTCACTTTGAATTACTCATTGATAAAATATAGCAATAAAATTATTTTTTGGACTATAAACTTCAACCACAAAACTTAGCTGAACAGGCATATTATAATACTTTTATTGGACTCATTTGGTTGCTTATATATAAAACCATGTCAACTGCAAATATAACTATTATTATTTTCTTACTAAAAAATTAATAAATATTTTTCAAAATAGGTTGTCACATAGAACAGGCAGGACTCAAACTTGCAGTGGTCCTCCTGCCTCAGTTTCTTGAGTTCTGAGATTATAGTCATGTGCTATACCACACTGGGCTTTATTATCAATTTGTAAAAATATTTCCTTTTGCAATTGCTCCAGTATAACCTCCAGTAAAGTGCTAAGAGTGTTCATCTTTATATTGTTTCACATCTTACACTGGGGAGTTGTTTCATAAGTAACACTAACATTAGTTGTGAGGTTTTACATATATGCCGTTTTAAAATTGAGATTCACTTTTTAAATTTCTTAAATACTGTTTCACCATTCTTTTGTTTGTTTTGGTACCGGAGATCGAACTCAGGTCCTTGTGCTTGCGAGGCAGGCAGCAGAAGCACTGAGCATTAAATCCCCAGCCCTTCACCATTCTTTTGATGATCATTTTGATGTCCTTCATTTGACTCACATTAAATGTTTTTAGATGAAATGATTTTGCAATCCAGACACATTCCACTGCATAAGTGTATACTACAATTTACATTTGCAGAATTTCATTGGCCAAAATTTTATGTAAGATTTTTGCATATAGATTTATAATAAATATTGTTTTATAGGGCATTTTCCCTTTGTGATATTCTAAGTTTAGTTTTGGTATCTAGCTATCAATGGCCACAGAGAAAATATAAAAGTATTCTATCCTATTCAGTCTTATGGAAAAGACTGTTTAAAAATTGGAAAATTCAGGCCAGAGATTTAGCTCGGTGGCACTGAACCTGCCTTGCAAGGGGGCAAGGTCCTGAGTTCGATCCCTAGTATTGCAACAACAAAAAAAATTTTTTAAAGGGCAAAATATTTTTTTCTTTGTACCAGAGATCGAATTCTGGTCCTTTTGTTTGCAGGGCAGGCAGAGGCACCACTGAGCTAAATCCCCAGCACAAATTCTTTAATATATGAGAAAAACCAATTGGATGAGGGAATTATGTGAGGAGAATCTTTAAATTATAAATTTATTTTATAGGTATACATAGTTTTCTATTTCTACTTGAACTAAATTATTTTGTGTTTTTCTAGTAATTTCTCTGTTATCTAAATTTTGTTTGTTTAGGGTTTTTTGTTTTTTTGTTACTGGGAATCAAACTTGGATCCTTGCCCTTGCGAGACAGGCAGAGGAACCACTGAGCTAAACATCTGGCCCTCTAAAATATTTATTTAAAAAATAGTAAAATATTTATTACCAGAGTTGGGATGACTTACTTATATGTCAAAATGTAATCAGGAACATTGCATTTTACATTTTTCATTTTAGGAAAATATTTTCTGCATGTATTTCCCAATACAACACACTGACTATGCTTTTTAATCAATGAAGCACATTTTTAGTTGTTACTTACGTTCTAGTCTGCTTAGTTTAGTAACCTTTATTATGTTGCTCCTTTTCTATTCTTGTCAATTTCTAAAGTTGAAAGCTTAGTACAATTTGAGATCTTTTCAGTTTTATTATACATGTTAAAACTTATTCATTTCAACCTAAACACTGCTTTGTAGACATCTTGGAGGTTTTGGCTTGCAGTTTCAATACATCTTGAAGTATTTCTTAATTTCCTTATGTTTTTCCCTTGTCTCACTGGTTATTTAATAGAAATGTTAATTTGAACAATTTTGTAAGGAGACAATATTCCTGGTTCTCCAAATTTTATTCTATTTTAGTTTTAAGATATTTTATATGATTTCAGTACTTTTAACATTTTGGGAGGTTTTTTTTTTTTAAAGAATATTTTGTGTGATGTAAGTACACAAATTCCAGCTTTTTTATTGTTATAAACTGGCTCTTTCTATCCTTTAACTTCCAACAAACCTGTATCTTAAAATCTAACATATCTCCTACACCAACTTATAGCTTGATTTTTTTATTCCACTCTCAATCTCAGATTTTGTTTTGGATTGTTTAAACAATAAATACACTTGGATTGAATTTTTCCAGTATACATTTTTTGTGATGTTTGTATTATTTTCCTATTTTGCTCTTATATTATTTTTCTTTTAAAGTTTCCATTATAACACTTTAATATTTTAATAGTTTTTTTTATATCTCCTAGGAATATTGTAATAGTTGCTCAAATGATTTATTTTATTGAAAAATAGCAATCACATATATTTATAGGATAAAATGTAATATTTCGACACAGGTAAACATGGTGTAATCATTAACCTGTTTAGCATATACATCACATCATCAACTATTCAGTAAATATATTTAATATGATCACGCCAAAGTTTTTTGATATACCATACATTATTATCAACTACGGTAACCATTGCATACAATGGATTTCAGACATTTAATCCTCCTCCTAAAAACATTGTTCACTTTCAGTTCTATCTTGCATTTATCCATCCTATCTAAAACTCAGTGTCTAGTAACCACCAATCTATTGATTCTATGAAATAGTCTTTGTTAGATTCCACATTTGTGAAATCATTAAATATTTCTTCTAGTGTCCCTGGCTCATTTAACATCATAAACTCCAGGTTCATTTATGTTAAAAATGATCGAATATTCTTTTTTCAAGGCTGCATATTATTACATTGTGTATATACACCCACCACATTTTCTTTATCCATGCATCTGTTGATTATATATCTTGGCTATTGTGAATAATGCTTAAATGAATGTGGGATTACAGGATCTTTTCAACATACTAAATCCAATATGTACATACAGAATTAGATTCCTAGATGATATGGTAATTGTATTTTTAGTTTTGAAACCTCTATAAAATGTGAGGTACAATAAATCTTTCCTCCAACTTTGAGAGTCAGGTATTTTGTCTCAGCAATGAGAAAAGACAGATTGTCACATTGTACATAGAATAGGGGAATACTTATGATTTCAAGATTTTGTGCTTTTCTGTCTTTACAATGCTTCGCATTTAACATTTTGCATCAGCAAATTTTTATATTTCATATTTCACTGAGTTTGGGAAATATTTTAAATATTCAATTTCCATTACTTTAAAAAAATTTTTGTCCTATTTTCTCTCTCATCTCCTCTTAAATTCCCAATATACATAATTGTGACTGGTATGAACCAATAGGTCCCTAAGGCTTGGTTCAGTTTCTTTCAATTTTTTCTCACTCTGTTCTCTACCTAAAGATGGTTACAATTGTTCTATCTTTGTATTTCCTTTACTTTCCCTTTGCCATATATACATTATATATAAAAGCCATTGATCCTTTCATTTCAGAAACTGTACTGTTCATTTCCAGAATTTCCAACTATTTTATTTTCATGTTTATGAGTTTTCTACTGAAAGTAATTTTTGCTGTTAATGTAGCATGATACATTGAAAATATGTCATTTTACTTCACTGAGAATAGTTAAAACTCCTCACTGGCAAATTCTTGAATTTGGTTCACTTTAGGGTCAAAATTAAGTTTTCTTTTCTCTAGAACAAATATTAGCATTTTGTTTATTCTTCCCAAGTCAAGAATATACTGTTAAGAGTAATGATCATAGAGTTATACTTATTCTGTCAGCATAATAACAGAATAATGGAAATATAATATAGTTTAACGGAAAATAATAGCTACATAGCAAACATGAAAACTAAAAATAGGGTTCTAAAAATATTCAACTGATCCTCATGGAAGCAAAAAAAAAAAGGAACAGAGGAACTAATGATAAAGACAAATAAAAACACAAAATATAATGGCAAACCTCAAAAAAAGTTCATCAGTATATTAAAGATTGTGCTCGTTTTGGCAGCACATATACTAAAATTATATTGAAGATTAACAGTGGAAGTGGTACAATTAAGTGTGAGCTTACAAGAACTGGTAAAAAGGCTAAAAGATAAACGACTTGCCAATTCTAAGAAATGAGTTTAAAAGTTAAAAGGCACAGTTAGGTTGAGAGTAAACACAGAAAAAATGTTAAGACTGAAATGGCTATACTAGTAACAAATACAACATTTCAAAACAAATCAGTACTAGAAATCAGAAACTCTTCCTAATGATAACAATAACAAAATCTACAATAAAAAATGTAGAGGTATTAAAAAACAATTATTAGGTTAGGGGATGCAGTTTAGTGATAGATCAGTTCCTCAGAACGTACAAGGCCCTAGGTTTGATTCCTAGCAACACAAAAACAAAACCAAATATCAAAATTTGTGAGATAAAACTTAATCAAATTAAAAGCAAAAATAGTCCATTCACAATTAACCATGGCTGGGTGTGTTTTAAAGCCATCTCTCAGCAAATTAAAAAACTTAATAAAATAACAGAAAGATAAAATGCTTTGAATGATATTATCAACAACATAGATACTATATTTTAAAGATACAACAAGAAAAATGGTACAATGTATCTATTTTTTTCAATTTCACAAGTTTACCAGGATAAACAATATTCTAAATCATAAGGACTCATATTTAATATAATTGAAAATACTTAGATAATGAAGAATAT